ACATATTGCCCGTCACGTTGTGAGTGTCTTATTTATATACCAGACAAACATATATCTAGTAAATACTAGGGCATTTACGAAGGAACAAGATACTTCTAGAAAATAGGTGGCGTGACAATTGTCACGTGACCTCGCTGACGCAACAATACACAAAATGTCACCGATATATTTTTCTAAAAAGGTTTTCATAAGTCGGTCATATTTAACTTTATAACACTAAAATTCAGGGTTGGCACGACACAGATCGCCCATTGTACAAGTTTTCTCTTAACAACAAAAAAACAAATTGAACTTCAAACTGATATTAAGTGATACTTCTGCAACTTACATGTCATGCACGTACTGATGTAGATTAGACTCTTCCTCGATACAACACAGATAGTACACAGAAGTTCCACAATCTCGTCACTTTAAAGTTAACAACTTTTATAATACACGCTCTAAATCACAGCGATTCACAATCTCGATTACTTCGCCCTCGACGAGTGCGAAACGCACACATTATGGCTCACTTGTTCGAAACTAACAGAATCATAAACTACACAGAACTCAAAGTAACTACTGCTCTGTGTTTATCCTTATATCACTGCTGGCTTTCTCTACCAGGCTAATATACTAACGAAGAGGACAACTCGAACACACTTGGACTTCCCTGATCATTCGAAAAACTCATCACGCACAGCAGCAGCGTCACGTGACTTTCGCTGTCGTAACACTGCCACTTTCTTGGTATTGTTCGTCCCGAACAATAGCCGCTTACATTAAACTAATAGATAGTTAACAATAAGTTAATTAAATGTACAGAATTCACAAACACAAAATTAAAATACAACAAAGTCTCTTAATTTTACAGGATATTTCTTCTTTCTTACTGGTCTCTGTCTCATTGGCTTCTGCTTCACATGGGATTCATCTGCTCCATCAGGAAATATTAGTGGCAGTAACTTCATTAACGGCTTCACTGTTTTCCTTCTCAAAACCGGGTAGAGTTTCTTCTTCAACGGTGACTTTTTCAGGTGACACATCTTCAGTAGCGTCATTTGTTCTGTTGATCATTTCGTTCCAGCTGAAATGTCCTGGACCATGATAACGTCAAAGCCTGTTGGCATACACCACCTTTGCTTTACCTCGCCGACCACACTTTATTCGGATCTCAGACGATCCACTATTTCATATGGGCCTTCCCATGGAGAAGACAACTTAGGAGACTTCCCTTGTCTCCTAATATAAAGCTGACTTCAGTAGATTTCTTATCATAACATAGCTTCATGGAATCAGCAGACGTTTTCATGCTTGAACGCACTTGATCATGAATATCATCCATCCTTTCAGATACCACTTTCACGAACTCTGACACATTTTCAGGCAACTCTTCGTAAGAAGGGCGTCCTGTTATCAGATCCACTGGCAACCAAAGTCTGCGACCAAACATTAGCTTTGCTGGAGTGTATTCAGTGGCTTCATACTCTGCTGTTCTATAAGCCAACAACAGTGGAGGGAGTAAGACATCCCGGTCATCTTGGAGGCAATTGCAAAACTTTGCCAATTCCTGTCCCAGTGTTCAACTGTACTTTTCTACTATCCCACCAGACTGTGGGTGAAGTGGAGTTGTCCTGGTCTTTCATATGCCAAATACCTTGCAGCATTCATGGAACAGAGCTGATTCAAAGTTACGGTCTTGATCGGAATGCAGTTCGTATGACATACCAAACCTGAAGAAGAAATCAATAATAGCCGAAGCTACAGTTATAGCTTCCTCATTTGGTATTGCATATGCGTCAGGCCACTTGGTGAAATAATCCATCACCACACAATTGTACTTGTTTCCAGCATGAGTTTGGGGCAACGGACCAGCAATGTCAATGGCTACTTTTTCATTGGTGCACCAACTTGATATAACTTCATTGCTTGTGTCCCCTTTTAGCACCACATGTACTGAAGGTCCTGCACCATTCTTCCACATCTTGCCTCATAGCTATCCAGTAAAATCTCTGCCATAGGAGACTCGATGTCTTTTTAACTTCAAGATGTCCTCCTGTTAAACTAACATGGTACTGACGTAGTACAACTTCCCGTAACAATCTTCAACTGATCCCAGTGTGCCCAATAGTTTTTGCCACAGGGCTTAAGCTAGACACCTTATCCCAAGAAGGATGCAAAACACTTGCTTGTAGAAAATCAATTATTGGCTTCAAATTTTGGTCTTTTTCCTGTTCTCCTTTAATATATATATACCTGGTTCCAATTCCCCATCATCAACTCCTA